TCTTCATTCGATCGATCTTTCAACAATTCTTACTTTCATACTTATACTTAACCTCTAACAGATAATATAGTAATGATAATGATCTTTATTGAGGTATCAACAATAATATTTTACAAAGTAGGGTAGTGTAATGAATACAAGTTTGCTATTCCGTTCCCTAAATAAATTGTGAATTGTAAAAAGCTTGTCTGCACTCGTCATTTTTACCCATTTATTCTTTTGTTTTCTATTTATTATTTAAAACGAATATTTGAACAGTACCTAAGTGCTATTTACAATCAATAAACACATTAAGAAGAGCTATTCGTATTCAATGAATTGTTGTTTTAAAAGATTTAAATTTATTGTAACTTTCCGAGATTTATCGAAAGCGATTGAAATGATGGAAATTGATTTATCCCTGGGAACCTTGCAGGTGAACGGGTTCGCGGAGAAACCATTGTGTACGCACCAACTAGTCTCTGCGGAGCTCTCGTCTCGCTATTCATCTAACGTCTAATAGATTTCAATTTATAAATGTAACTACTATATTAAAGTAACAATGGAAATTAAATGTATAGTCTATAATATAGTAATAATATTAGCACTAGAAATATGAATAATTGTATAGTATTTTCTAGACAAGGTATGTATTAAAGATTTTGATCATTATCATCTAATCCCAAAATAAGCAGAACTTATAGTTGCCGTGGATACATTACTTAAATACTATGTAACATATAAAGATTGAAACTGACTAAAAAAGAATAATTTTAACATCAAAAAATGTACCAATTGAGTTATTTGTCCGTTTTTCTCAACCGAAGTACCTCGCCGAAGTGAACAGTAGGAATAGTTATAAAAAATGATGACATATATGAGACCCAAAAAGGTTGTTTACGAACTAATATTTTTTGATTTGATTAATTTGATTTAGGTACTAGACAAGTAATAAATATATCTAAATTCATTTTTATGCACAAGCTTAATACAATTAAATTCGTATGTACCAAAGTTTGTATTATTATCGATATATATATCGATAGTATCGATCCCGCAAACGTCGAACGGAGAACGAGTAGCATGTTTAACCGCTACTCCACTAGGGTCGCGTAACTCAATTGGCAACGTTCAAAGCGGTCCAACATGCCGTTCCCCACAAGCAGTACAAATGAACTGAAACAACAATAACGGACACAAACATTTGACATTAATTAAAATTAAACCACATCGTTAACATATAATTGCTCGTGGACTAATTAAAGCAACTGCGTCACTGTTCACTAAAACTATAGTGTAGTACGAACGCTCACTCGCTACGTATTCGTACCTAAATGCTACAAATTCGTAGCTACTAGATGCTACGAACTACGTAGCATCTAGAAGTTACGAATATGTAGCACTTTGCTTAAATAGTAAACAATTTCTAATCCCTTTCGCCCTGCAAAATTGTTTTGCATAATTGTATGAGAATTCTAAATAAAACAGTCCCTTTTGTTAGTGGTTCGTTAATGTTATTTTTGGACGACAAATCTTTGTAAGTACAATATTTGTATTTCAAAATTAATGTCATTTACAAAATTATTTTAAAATTAATAAACTGAGACCAATTTATGACAATATCTTTCAGAACAAGTTGTAAAGTATTTTTTATCAGTAATAAACATATCTATACTAATAGGTACTATTTAACATTGCCTTGCCTTTATCCCATTATTTGGGGTCGGCACAGTATGTTATTCTCTTCTGCGGCTAGTAATAAGTACTATTATAACTAGAATTTATGAGTTTAGATATTCGGGGTAATCTCCAGTATTACAAATATTGTATGAAAATTATTATTATATTTCGTGTTGTGTGACAGCCTATTTGACGAGGATATCTATAAGCTATATAACACCACGCCACAACTAATAGAAGCGAAGCCACAATGAAAAATGTAACAGAAACTGCAAATGTGTGATGCAGACTAAGTAGCGCGGATCGGCTTGTTAGAACAAAAGTTCTAAACTAACTATAATCATGTGTAATTTTCTTTTATGAGATTTACATTCAAATGCCGTCTATCATGCCGTGACAATAAGTCACATCAAGCATCTTAAACAAGACTTATTAAAGGTATCCCTATCCTATGTTCCTCATCATCAGATCTCTGCAGTCCACTGCTGGAAGTGGCCCAATCTTAATATTAATATACAATGTTTTTAAAAATAATAGTATTAATAATTCACACAGCGCCATCCAGTCGCAACCTGATCAGAGTTGTGTTATGTGACTACTAAACTAAATACTTATATTAATTACAATTTTTGTAAATAATTATAATAAACAGACCAATACAAAGAATATACTAACTATTTACTAATACAAATGTTTGTGCGAGGAATCAAACCCACAACCATCGAAAGGCGGTGGGCTAAAGCGATATCTGAACATAATATTAAAACATACTACATATATTATATCAGTATGTATCTACTATTTCTCTGTTTAGGTAGATATATCTAAGTACTTGAAGTGATTAACGGTAATACCTAAGAAAACTGTGTGAAAAGGCATTAACAAAATTTATAGCTTGCCGTTTTCCTTTTTACTTTCAATAACAACAATTTTGTAGAAAACAGTATTAAATGGAGCAACAATTTGTAATATAGGACATGGTTTTCCGATTTCCCGTGGGAAACATTCCGCTCTTTCAAACAAAAAGGCAGGTGTTGGTCTCGTTGAACTTATAGCTGGGTTAGGTTCAACGGTATTGTCTGTATTTGAAATAGATGGTGAGCAATAATTATATTTTTACTACAATACCTTCAAAAGTATCTTCATAGCTGTTATGACTCCCAGAACAGTCAACTGTCGACATTGTTCACAAAAACGCAATATCTAACATACACATATTTCGCTGAAGATATTCAAATACTACGTGGCAGCGCAATGACTTTGTTTATTATCGGCTTTTTGTCTTTGAAGTGTTAGTTCAAAATTTAAATTGACATATAAATATTTTATATAGATATTAATATAGTATTGACAAATTGACACATTTGTCAATACTATATTAATATCTATATGTGCAATGTTCATTCATATTAAAATATGCTACAATTGGGATATTAAATGTGATAATCAGGAAGATTTTCTTGTTACACAGTCTCAGTTGACTAGTAAATTTTCGCTGGTCTCACCTGTATAGGATTGGACGGAGGGGATTTTGAGGAAAGATAATAAGGAACTCTTTGACTTAGAATTTACCATGTCGGGTCGACTTCCACGAACTGATTCCTTGTTAAATCCTCCTGAAGTCGTCACGATGGGCTAACTGACTTAACTTTACGGTTATCCTATCGCATACCGCTAACGAATACTTTTAACACAAGCGGAAGCACCATTCCATTAGCATGCATTAAATAAACCTGTATTGAAGTGGAGTCTAACTAAACAAAGTGCAAGTTTACTGCGGTTTGTGAGTTTAATTATGTAAGTTCGAGAAGCAACGTTTACAGGTAAGTTGGTTTTAAATTAAAATAGATTCAGTTTTTTTGTTACTTTAATATATTTCAACAGACTGAATACTTTTTATTTCGAATTTTAATTGCATACATTACATAAATAGGCAATGTTGATGGTTTGCGATGAATTTAGAATTTCTTTAATCTTTTACTATTATGACGCATCTCTGATGGAATTAGTAATCTGATTTCATTCATTCTTGATCTTTAAAACAACTGATCACTGCGACCAGTTATTAAAATCGTTGATAATTATAAAGACAGATTGTATCTCTATCGAAAACGAAACATAAATATATTACAGTTTTAAAATAAATCACAATGAACTAGGCGTGGAAATGGGGTGGCTTCCGTAAATAGGTCTCGAGGCCTCTTGTTATCGAACTATCATCCATCACTCTCGTGTAGTAAGTGCATAAAAATAAATATCACGTAAGAGTGTGATACATCATATGGAAATTCATGTATTTCTTGCCTACACTATTCTGTTTAATACATCCAAATATATACTGGTATATATATCATTATTATTTTAGTATATATATATATATATATATATATATAAGTAGGTACGGGTAGCTAGCAGCAGTGTTACCTTGGATTCATTAATCCATCTTTTCTAACATTATAAATAGGAAAAGTAGATACTTTAAATATTCTTTCCCATTACTGATAAACATAGGTGATAGAATATTTTTAAGAACTTAAGGGATCCACATGAAAACGATTATGTAATGTAACCCCAGGTGAAAAAATACTTCTGCTGAAATTAGTGACAATAGAGCAGTGACAAGTCAGGACGGACCGCTAGAATCCTTACTAATATTATAAATGCGAAAGTCTGTCTGTTTGTCTGTCTATCTCTCTTTCACGCCAAAACCGATTTAAATGAAATTAGGTACACTGATAGTCTAGACGCTGAGAAAGGCCGTAGGCTACTTTTTGATGCAAAAAAAGGGTTGTAAAGAAGAGATAAGTTCGTATGGAGATACCTACCTACTTCAAAATACTGTCACAACAGATTTAGTTAATATTATCGTTGTTGTGTTTTTATTAAATGTATTTAAAATAAAATATTTCTATTTATTTATATTACTACCCACAATACTAGCTGAATGAAAACTTGAAATAAAACTCTATACCAAACCAACTGGCCACATGCGTAGGTTTAGTAATGTTTACTCTTACAATATGCGACCCGCGCTAAAAAGGGAAATAAGAAATTTTGTAGATATTTAAGTACTTAATAAAAATCGGTTTAAATTGGTCTGTATACTATACATACCAATTTAATACGCCCAGAACTATTCTGGTCAAAAATTTGTATTGCAAACCGGCCATACCGTAAAACGGACGGTATGCTTACTTTCTTGCAGTCCTAGTAACATTAATATTGGGAATAATAAAGCTACCACTGAACAATCTTAATTGTTATATCTATTATTGGAAGAAATATTAGGTAAGTTTCAAATGTTAAACAACTGAATAAACAAAAACACTATCTTAGTTTGATAAATACTCGCTTTATTTTATGAAATCTTTACAAACATACATCAGGTAAACTGTAGTCGATAGTCTGATCACAGTCTAGACACATAATAGCACTTTTATGTTTATATTCCATTGATATTTCGAACGCGTCACGTTCGTCAGTAAATTTATCAAAGAAGTAACTAGTGTTTATATCTGAATGTATAACAATATTAAAATTATTTGGATTGCGTGTAATACTGCTTCTTCTTATAGGGCTATCTTTAGGCGTCGAGCAGTTATTATGAATCTCTTTTAACATACTCTTTCTAATGGGCTTTTTGGGTGTTGAATATTTAGTATTGAATATTAGTTTTACTAGATTATTATCCACAGTAGCAGTCTTAGTTATGGGTGATCGTGTAACAATGTTATCTATTAAATCAGAGAGATCACTCTCCTGTATATTATCTGTGCTCAAATTCGATAAATTTAACAAATTCTTCGTTTCGTTTCTATTTTCTTTTTCGTTTATATTTTCATGACATTCAAATTCATTGGGTTTGGTTATTAAAGACATATTATCAAGGCTACGTCTCAAGGAGTGCATTGCCTTTTTGATAGACTTGCGTTTCTTGGTGGTTATAAAACTATCAATAGTTTTTTGACCTTTCTTTGTGTTTGTTTTTAATTTCCTTTTCAGCTTATTTACGCTCACGCTAACATTAGTCTTACTAGAATTAAGTTCAGGAACCTTAGTGGAAACATTCAGACTTTTCATTGCATCGCTAAGATTTATGATGTCTGTATCTATAAGTTTTTTCACCTTTTTATTGTATTTGCGTTTTGGTTTTTCATTGTCGTCTTTGTCTTTCTTTTTGGCTCTAGCCTTTTTAACTTTTGGTGGTTTTTTAATGGAATCCTCATAGGATTCCACCACCTCCGAGTAATATTGTCGCATCAGATCTTGCCGTTCTGTCGATGTCCATGGTAATAACGGGTCTTCGTCCTCTATAACAAAGGAAATTTTGTGCCTTAGTTTTTAAGTTTTTATAGACAATTTGGTGACAGTAGAGTTAATTTCGTCACGTCCGTCTGTGTCTGTCAGTGTGTCATACTCAATTTGTAATATGAACACAACAATAATTTGACTATAATCCTGATTTAACAGTAACTAACTAGTTTTCATTATGATTGAAAAAAAATCAGGTGAAGCCTATTTCTTGGTAATAAGTAAATCGCTGTACTGGTTGATAAAGTCTTATGTACCTACATATTAGAGATATTTATTAACCTACTATGTTTTCGTCTTTAGCGACAATTTTTTCGACTACATCTGAATCTAATATATTAGAGCATTTACTATTACTGAAATTTATTAAATTATGAATGTGTTACCTTCAAATTGGTCATCTGGTATCAATGCCTCATATTGGCCATCAGTATCACCCCACAGCACCACGTAACTAGGTACACCTGTAAATAATATAATAATTTAAACAGATTCATCAAATAACTTTAAAAAATGTTTTTCTTTTTTTGTAACCGTAAATAGTCCACTTAAATTTTAAATTAAACATGATGTGACCAGTTTTGGCGCAAAATATAAATATAAGCAAATGCAAATAATAATATTCAGAAAGAAATTTTTATTTAAGTTCAAGGGAAAGGGATGAAGATATTAAATAAAGGGTCGGAAAATGTTTTTTTTTTAATAACTAGATAACGGTAAGAAATCTGCACAAAACAAGTCCTTTTAATTTTTTCATTATCTGCTGTTGTTTAACCCAAAAATAAAAAAAAATCACACATTTGCAGTACATATTTTTTATATATTGCGCCAACCCACGTCACGCGACATGTTTAATTTAAAATTTTACTGGGTTAAAAGGCCTATGTCCAGCAGTGGACGCCTTCCGGGCTGCGATGATGAAAAGGGTAGGTATGAAAACATTATCACAGAGCTCAACCTCTTTGATAATGTTTTCATGATGTAGGGGAGATCTGCTCTAATGCTACCGATGTAAGGTCCATTCAGTAATAACCAAACATTTAGCGTACCCTATTCTCTATAACGCGCTCTACTTTGTCTATAGTTGAAGATTTCGAGGCGTTTGCTGTGAACTATTTAAATTTTTAACCAGCATTTATTTAGCCGTATTACTCGTACAAAATAAATCAGGGCCTAATATTTTATAATTATGTTAAAGATATATTTATTCATATTTTACTACTTTTTTTATATACTATATAATGGTGGCAAACAAGCATACGGCTCATCTAATGATAAATGGCTACCATTGCCTATGGCCCCTTGAAACATCATAGTTGTCACGTACGCAATGCCGACCCCTAAGAAATCTTAATAAATAATATTCATATATCATATTCTCTATATTAATATAGTACATCCCACCATCTATACTATATAGTATTATCACTCAAAACTCGCCTCTAGGATTCCTTTTTTTCTTTATTTCTATTGGTTTGATGGTTCTGCAAGGGACATAATCCTGAAAATGCCACTTGGTCAGCAAAGGCAAAAACTTTTCAACGCAGTACCTTTCTGACCAATCTAATTTAGTAGACATCAATTTCTGAAACAAAGATAATAGTTGTGAAGCTATTTTATTACTAGGAATAAAGAAAAAGCTTTTTTCTTTATGTCTTATAATTCGATATTACAGCAAAAGTAAACAATATCTGTTTTTTTTTTTAATTCCTGAGAATTTCTTTTAATAAACAAAAATGTCAACAAATATAAATTATCAAATCAAAAATCATTTAGTCATGCAGGATATTTTAGTCGCTTATAAAAGTCAACTTTGTTACATTGTTTTCCCTACAATCCAGTTCAAAATATACTTAAATCTAGCTACTCGACCCGGCTTTGCACGGTACACCCGTATTATATTATATTGTATGTATTATATAACCTAGAATCACTCTAACTATAAAAAAACCGCTTCAAAATCCGTTACGTAGTTCTAAAGATTTAAGCATACATAGGGACACACAGCGACTTTATTTTATACTATGTGATAATGATGATCAGGTACAAACAATACCAAGTATAAAATTATTTAATTACCACAAACTTAATCAGACTTGGTGTGGGATTTTTCAAACGATCAATATCTATATTCTCCGGGCTTGTGTTCAAAAACTCCTGCATTACTTTAGGCTCGGGGAACGGCATTCCGCAAGTCAACGCGCGTGATCTTAAGGAGAGTTCTCGTTTGACTTCAGACACTTTAGACCTGCAATCATTTAATTTTGCTACAAATCTTAGAAGACTCTTTGCAAGTATGAAATCCCAATTTTTTAATAGCGATTTTATGGCAAAAGTACGTTAGCGGTGTCAACTAGTTTTATATATAATGATAATCACTTGTGTCCATTGTCGTTGCAGCCTTTATGTGTGACGCAGACGGGGCAGCCGTTGCGTGAATGCGTACGTCCCACGTGACCGCAGCGATCGCAGTAACCCGTCGCAGATGCCCAGCGCGCGCGCTCCTCGTACTCCGTCGTGTCCGTCACCCAGGACAACAATCTGTCCATATAACGTGGGGACATGGAAATTTTAATATTCCATAGCTAGAAATGTACCAAGTCAGGTTGTACTTCATGCGGTTCCCCCTTGAAGCCATCGTGATCCGTGTCTAGTAATTTTGTCAAGATGGGCCAACTGACCTGATGTCACGCTCATCCATTCACTCTCCACTGGTAGCTGGTATTTCTTTTTATTTAAATTATTGACCTTAATATATTGAATACTTGTGACGTTTTGTAATCGTGGAAAGAAGTAAATCTCTTATTTAGCACAAAATTATTCGTGTTGAGTTAAAGCTACACATACCTACATAGGAAATCTGTCCATGTGAAAGGGGGCGGTAGATTCTTATTAACCTGAACTTTTCTTTAATTAATACAATATTGAAATTTATAAAGAAAAAACGGTTATGTAATTGCATATAAAAATTGATTATATTTATCATTTATATTATTTTGATACCTCTCTTTTACATGTAACTTTTGCCTGCCTTGTTCCTTCTCTTGGGAAATATACATATAGATGTTAATTATTCCAGTTTTTATTGAATAGTTATAGAGTGCTACTGCTCCAGTTACATTACGGACAAGGGCTTGCTTACAATACAACTAAAGTACAACTATTTCAAAATTTTACTCTGCCTACAAACAATTCCTTAAAAGAAGGCAATGTTAAAAAACGTTGATGATGCAGTTTATTACAAATTGGTTGTAACCTGGGAATAATGTCACTTTCAGGAACAGTGTGTAAGAAGGAGACAGCTGTATTTATCGACGATCCACATGCACCCAATACATAATCGCAACCACACAATAGAGCCAAAGCAACCATCTTGTTACGTCCGAATCCTAAAAATAATAAATAATACGAAATTATATATGTCTATTAATTGAAACATGGGTACATACAAAAAGAAATGCCGTCACTACACGGTAGAATTATCTTTGTTAATATAATAAGGCTTCCCAAGCAACAGTAATACCCATAACAGAATGCTAAGTACTTAGGAACAAAAATCAAAAGTAATTACATATTTTTTTTTACTGAGACTAATAACCGCTAGAAAGTCCGTATACACTTTTTAGAAATTCAAATTCAAAAATCATTTATTCATGTAGGACATTTTAGCCGCTTATGAACGTCAAATTTTTACATTATAATTTTATTTTTTTCCCTACCGTCCAGTTCGGTATATAGATCCAATTGAGAAGAACTGGCAAGAAACTCAATTGAATTACTTTTTTTTTTTAAAGCCAGTTTATTTACAATGTATATTTATATAGGTGTCTATGTCTAACATTAAATGAAAATTCAGTGCATGAACAACTATTGCCATGCACACTCGTCATTCAAGTAATCGTTTAGTGAGTAATAGGCTTTGCTCAGTAAATATGATTTAACAGATGTTTTGAATTTATTTAAGGGTAATTTTCATAATACAATCTCACTTACAATTTCATTAACATCCCTTCACACATCAGAGGTAACAATAACCGATATGTATACATGATTTACACTTTAACTTTGATATCACACTTTGTAAATACTCACCATTACTTTGAAACATTTTGTCGGCATCGTAACAATCGACGGAGCCCTGCAATGAACCACCGCCAGCCGCGCTGGACACGCTGAAGTTGCGGTAAACACAGCGAGCACCATACGCAAAACAATCAGAATCCTGGGACACAACAGCATCTACCAACTGAGATATAATTCACACTGGTAAGATTTTCTTCTTGTTATAACAAAATATACAATCCCTTCTAATATTATAATTGTGAAAGAATGCGAAAGAAACTGTTTGATTCGCGCCAAAACTGTACCGATTTAAATGAAACACTCATTGTCTAAATCCTGAGACAGCCTAGTTTTTAATGAAAAAAGAATTGTAAGGTGTTAAAAGGGAAGATGAAAGATTGTATCGATTTTAAAGCTAGAAGCCTGAAACTTATTTTTAAGGCTGTTGTTTTAATATGAAATTCGTCATTTTTGAAGATAGAATAATGAAACATTTTTCTTTGGTGGTTTTGGATTAGATTATTAAATATTTTATTGCTATTCAAATTGTGATAATACAATTCATGTAATAAATTTGTAGCCGGCCAGATCATTTTGCATTTTTATAGTGACTTATTAATTAAAACATTGTCTTTTTAAATATATAATACATACTTTTTACTAGTTATTATATAAAATAATAATAAAATATAGTGTTTTCTATATAAGAGAGGCATATATGTCTTTGAATATAATATCTAATAAGGAATAAATGTGACACACTATATGAATAATATACAAGCACCTTGAGCATTTAATTGTGCGCATGTTGCTTCTGCCTCTCCTCGTCCCTTAATACATTGCACCCCCATGCAGCTCAGCAAAGCTTCACACTGAAAGGAAATATTTATTAAAACTATAGGCCCAAAATATACTAGTAGTATTCAATTATAGAAGCTATATATTTTATTTTTTTAATGCAAAATATTCTTTTATAGATTCCATAAGGGAGAAATATTCAAAATGTTACAGATATTAAAATAAAAAAGAGAGTGACACTTCTCATAATTTAGCTAAATACCAATATACCCAAATTAGTAATAAAACTGAAAAATAAAAAGCTTATTACAAAATGTAAAAACAATAATAAAACACATTCATACCTCCTTTAAAACATTTTTAAATCTTTTTCTACTAACATCTGGACGTTTATTGGATACATTGTCGCTCTTAGGAGCAGCACCACGGAATTGCATAGCATTACGAGCTGCCATGACATCCCTTTTAAGCTCAGGTGCATCACCCTCCAACACAAATATGGGATTGATATCTGCGAGTAAGAGGTAAATGGTTCTGAAGAACAAATTCCTAAAATTAATATATTTTTTAATTAATTTATATACATATACTTCTTATGTTAATATAAAGTTCAAAGTGTAAATATCAAGAAAATCATTCAGAAGGTATACAGTAAAGTCTAATCCTTCCTTCTCTCTACAAGTTATATATGAAACTATACAAACCTTAAATATAATTTTGGCTGAACATGATAATCAGTAACATTTTGGCTGTCACACACCCATCCAGATAAGTCTATAGCAACAGTTTCACCACAAATCTGCATTGAAGTTAAAACAATATAGAAGTTATTCACATTGTGACAATTTAGATGTTTCACTGATAATAGTAGTCCCTAAATACATATTCACATAAAAAGACCTCCAACCAGCGAAATTGGTTGTATTGTTATTAGCAATTTAATTTGAATTCATAGTAGCATTAAACCAATTATTTAAAAAACAAAAACAATTGTAACAGAACTGATTGACAGACTGTTTATAATGACTTCCAGTAGGAATGCGGTTTCGGAAGGGTTTAATTCTCATAGGGCTCATTTCTGAGTAGTAAGAGTTCATTTAAACTTGAGAACATTGCTTTTTATGTATGACTTTTTCAATGGGATTTAAATAATATTCTAACTTAGGTTATTAAGGTGAATGATTAGATGAAACTTTACTATCATAAATGCACTTACTTCATGAAGGGCCTTCTTTTCACTGTATGGCGTCAAGACAGCCCATAGACCTTTTACGCCCATATTTACTGAAGTACTTACTTGGCACTTCTGTCAATTGATCACAGAAATTATAGCTGTAAAATATCAATTAATTGTCAATTTACTTATAGTTGCTATTTCCTGCCTGATACCAGTAGTAATTGGCAAAAGATGAGACTAGTTCCTACTCTTTTAAAAAAAACTTTGAAGACAATGTAAACATACCATTTTATAGAATTTTATTAATAAAACACATTAATTCATATCTCGTATATTTAAATGTAGGTCTAGTGAGGTAGATTTTTTACAATTTCTGTTGTTTCGTTGAGATAGTATAGTTTACGCCAATTAAATTTAAAAAATGCAGGGTACCGGAAAAAGCTGTACCGTAACTTGTCAAAACTCAAAAGAAACAAATATTTCTTGTTTATGGTCAAGTAATGATACAAAAGTTACCAATCATAATATGGAATGTAGTTGGAATCAATATCAGAAAATGTGATGATCAATTTTAAATATACATACGATACTTAGAGAAATTATGCATTATAATTCAAGTGGCTAGTAGTAAAAGCAAATAGGTATGTAGTATTTGCAGATTTGTTTATTATATTTTCTGAATTATAAACGATTGCCCAGTAACTTCCAAATCAAATGTCGGAAAATAAAAAAATCTAACAATAAATGCTAGTAATAGCTTTATTGATGCCTATATGTGTTTTAATGTGTCAGCTATACTATATTTTATCATACCACAGTAGAGATAGTCAAGCATATTTTAAAATAGGTATCAGCACTTCTTCTTTCTACTTCTCTTAAATAAATCAGTCACAGAGAATGTTTACTTTAGATTCAAGTGTGTAAGAAAAAAATGAAATCGATTTTCGATAATTCGAATTATTAGAAATAAATCGATTAACACGATCTGTTAGATCACTATAATATCTATGGTCGCGGAATGCATTATTTGTTTATTTGTTCAAAAACTGACAGATAATGCAGGAGTTGCGAGACTTGTATCTGTAATAAATAGATATACAAAATCTTGTATGCATATTATTCTTGATTTTTACAAAAAAATGTAAATCTTATGTAGAAAAGAGATTTACATTTTATTTGTGAACACAATTTTTTTAATGCATAGTGTTCAGTAATTTATAATGTTTATATGAATTGATTATTATTATTATGTGAATATTTATACGTAATAAATTTTATTCGCAATATCACATTGATTATTTACTATATGTACATAGATAATCGAATTTAACTAATAAATAATATTTTTCTAAGAAATTTGTAATGAACAATATGTCTGGGGAAACATATGAAGATTTCGAAGACAACAATTTTATTATAACAAAACAAGAACGTGAAACACTACATTTACTGCTATGTATATTAAATGATATGCTAATGAAAAGCGGTAATGTAATGTCATACTCATTATCATTGCGTTAGATATTTGTGTACGTACATTATCACTCACTATCATTCCGAATTAACTAGCAGTTGTTGCTGAGAGTCAGAGAGGTCGGCCCGTATGTACGTACGAATAATCTACAAACAATTTAGATAACAACAAAATAACGTTAAATAGTCGCCCATAATTACATGTCTGAATTTGGAAGCATCATATCTCACAATGTGGTATTTAAGACATGTAAATAAAGTACGGTAAGTATTTCCTGAAAGTATTCAAAATCTAAGTGATGATAACTGAATAATTTTGGTGTTCAGCCATCTTCTGAAAGTTATTATCAAATAAATTCTCATCATCAACTGTTTCTTCCTTATCTCATTTATTTGGGGTTGGCATAATATATTTTTCTCTTCTATTCATATCAATAAATTCTCAATACCTCAAAAATTAGACCATTATAAAACTGTGAATGTATTATAGAAACTTAAGTATTCTCTCATTGTTACTTTAATGTAATATTTTAAAAACTAGTCTAAATCTGAACTTGTAACAGAAAATAATAATTAGCATTTAATAAAGAAAAAGTTTATTTGTAATTGGACTTACATTGCAATCTATGTATATTTATTATATACTATAAATTCAAAAAACTTTGTCATGTACTATTTCAGGCTATCTCTCAACCTCAAGTTGTCAGTAAGATACAATCATGTTCACTTGAAAGAAAATATTAAGAGACAGCAAATTAGTAAGGTGCTCATTGCTAATCGCGGTGAGATAGCATGTAGAGTGATGCGGACAGCTAAAAAGTTGGGTATTAGGACTGTTGCTGTATATTCTGATGCGGATAAAAATGCAATGCATGTTGAAATGGTAAATTATCTCATTTAAATTAAGTTATTTTCTTTGTCCCACATTTACTACACCTGAACGTAAAAGGACTCAGTCCATACAGCCATTATCTTCAATAATATTCTGTTAAAGACTCATTATTCTAATTCATTAGTCTTTCTAATTTCAAACCTGAAATGCACTTTCAGTCTAAATATCAATTAGTAGCTTGCAATTTTAAATATCAGGTTTTATGGATTTGAATAAATCTACACCAAATGTTATATGGGCATATTTATAGTGTTTTGAAATAAAATTGACTTGAGTTTTCAACTATATTTTAATAATGTGTAATTAGGAGTTTTTGTAAATTATACCTAATAAAATTGATAAAGTATAAGAATTTTATAATACAAAATACACCATCTTATAAGTGAATTACTTAAAATAAGTATTTGATGAGTTTTTGATTTTAATCATTTGTTTATTTTTGTTTTTAGGCTGATGAAGCATATCATATAGGTCCCCCACCATCTGCACAGAGCTACCTAAATGCTGCTAAAATACTGGATGTGGCTAAGAAATCCAATAGTCAAGCCATACATCCTGGCTATGGTTTCCTCTCAGAAAATGTAGAGTTCTGTGAAAAGTGCACAAATGAAGGAGTCATATTTATTGGACCTCCACCTTCAGCTATTAGAGACATGGGTATAAAAAGGTTAGTTTGTAGTAGTTATGTATTGCATGCCTGAGATATTAAGTGAGCTACACAATCAAGTAATGGTAATTTTTGTTTATTATTTGCATAATAATGAAATGTTATCATTAAATACCTACAAACAAAGATCTGTCTAAATAAATAAACTCATTGCAATATAAAATGGGAAACTATTTTTTATTAAATTTATATTCATACAATATAAGTTTCATGTATTTATATTTATATAACTTGGGATTGGTTACTATATTTGTGGGGTTAGCTATAATACTATAACTATGTAATTAAATACATATTATTTTATTATTAAATACTTTCCAGCACATCAAAAGCCATAATGTCAAGTGCAGGAGTACCAATAGTAAGGGGCTATCATGGTGAGGATCAAAGTATTGAGAGACTGCAAGCAGAAGCTCAGAAAGTTGGATTTCCACTTATGATCAAAGCTGTACGAGGCGGAGGTGGTAAAGTGAGTATATAACTTTTTTATATCTCTATCATGTTCATCTTCTTTCCTGAATAATTGGTTAAATATTTGAAGTTAAATAATTCTCAAACAAAAAATAAGTGGCTATTTTAAGGCTTCTTATTTTATATATATACTCTTGGTATAACAGTCATGCTAGAACCTTTTTAATCTACTTAATCCTCTCCTAATAATAATAAGACTATTATACAAAGATGTAATATGTTTGTATATAATTATGGCATTTATATTACTTTTTCATGTCTTTTATCCAGATATTCTAAATGTGATAACTTTATACTTAGTAATATTATAAATACGAATTTATATGTTTTTCTTTCTTACCTTTTAATGATAGGTTGATAAGCGTAGCCTTTTTCAGTGTAACAATAACAACTTGTGTAATTATAATTTTCAGGGTATGAGAATTGCAATGACAGAAGAAGAATTTCTACCGCAATTAGAGTCTGCTAAAAGAGAATCATTAAAATCGTTTGGAGATGACAATATGCTTTTAGAGCAATATATTACAGATCCACGTCATGTTGAAGTACAGGTGAGAAACTTTGTTTCACGGCAAAAATCAGAAATATTGAAAAATAAATAGAAGCATTGTGTTATGAAAAAAATAATATACAGAAAACTATTTTATTTCTGCTATTTCTGCACCCAACACTAAAAGTCATTCTTTTTACGATTATTCAGGTATTTGCTGACATGCACGGTAATGTGGTGCACCTGTTCGAAAGGGACTGCTCTGTACAACGAAGACATCAAAAAATCATAGAAGAAGCACCTGCTGTAAGTTTTTTTTTTTATTTATAACACTTTATTGCACGGACATATAAAGGACATGAACAAAATTAAAAACATAAAAAAATAAAAGTAAGTATAATGTATAAAATAAATTGTGTTTATTGTACATCATCTTCATCTATCATCTCTATGTATCAAAATTAATAATGATATCCTTGCAAACTTAAAGCCTTGTTACAGTCGGCGATACATGTAATTTGATATATATATATATATATATATATATATATATATATATATATATATATATATATATATATATACAGTAGATATTGAACTACATTCGCAGAAATTCCCACGAAACTTAAATTTCGATTTTCAGCTATTGTGTTTTGAGAACCTCTTACCATTTACTATTTCTGCCGCCAAACAACATATTTTGTTAAATATATTTCGATTTGAATAATCAGCTGAGATATGGCAGTGATGTGATATAGGCTAAGGGAGACATGGCATATTTACCCTCTGAAATGGCAACGCATAAGTAGTACCACAGCATTAGCAACATCAATGGTCTAGTTAGGTAATCTTTGTATTTATGAGTATGATTGTATTTGTTTGGACTATTTTCAATGTAGGTATATGTATTTAGAAAAAAATAGGTATTTTATCTATTTTCCACCCATAACATAAGCTTGGCTTGCGTTTGGACTAGATGGTGCTATGTGATTTATGCAGGGTTATCATTATTATATTTTTAGCCAGGCCTTTCAGAAGATACGCGCAAGGCAATAGGTGAGGCGGCAGTGAGAGCTGCTCGCGCTGTGGGTTACGTCGGAGCTGGTACCGTAGAGTTTATATTGCACAGAATAACACATGAGTTCCACTTTATGGAGATGAACACACGTTTGCAAGTTGAGCATCCTATCACTGAGATGATCACTGGTAAGGAATTTTTTACTCTGTAATTGGTTTTATTCTAATGAATTAGTAGACTACTGTTACTAGTTAGTAGTTTGTTTTCACTCATTTCTACTTAGAAATGCAAACTTACAACAATTATATAAAAGAGTACCATACAAGTTTCTTGCTCGTTCTTCTTCTAATGAGAAAGAAGCTGTAGACTAAAATAAATAAGTATGACTTTATCTAAAGGAAATTTTATAATTCTAGAATTCATTTTTATTAAGGTATTTCTATTCTGTTCTATTGCTTATCCTACCTACCAGGAACCGATCTAGTGGAGTGGCAACTCCGCGTTGCTAGCGGCGAACCACTACCGTTGTCACAACAAGAGATGGTGCGTCGCGGGCATGCTGTAGAATGCAGGATCTACGCTGAGGAGCCCGGCGCAGGATTCTTACCGCGAGCGGGCACGCTTCACCGACTCAGACAACCCACTCCTGAGGACAATGTGCGGGTCAGTATCATCATTTTTTCTCTAAATATTAAAATTATTTCTGTAAAGAATATTGTTTCTGTGGTTTAATACTCTTTGGTTTGCCGAGATCAAGCTTGTTCAAAGTCATGTCAATCAAGTCAAGGCAGCATGCTGTCTAAAGTCTTTCGATTTGAAACAGGAGATTACAGGAGATTATGAGAGACAGTGGAATTACAGGGTGGTATGAAGGCCTACCGATAGTCCTCCAGAATGGCAACGTATGTCTTGTAACTTGATGTCTTAGTAGTAGATAAAAACTATCGCTCCTAAATATCCTTCATTTCTTGTCCTTGATGGGTCTAGGGAGCGACATCTGTAGAAGGGCGATCACAATAGATCTATATAAGTCATGTGCTACAGGCCCAGAACAGTACAGAAAGAAAATTTCAACTCTTAATGTGATCCCTTTGTCTTATTACTAATAGCAAATATTATGTTCTAGATAGAAACGGGCGTGCGTGAAGGACAAGAGGTATCGGTACATTATGATCCAATGATTGCCAAGTTGGTCGTATGGGGCCGGGATCGCAACGAAGCTTTAGCTAAAACCAGAGCTAAGCTTTCTGAATATCAGGTTTGTACATTTTTATATTACTTCATAATTACAAATTTTATTTACTGCTAAGTAAACTACGCAACAATCCCATCTAAGGATTGTTGCCTAGTTTACTACTCCCGACTAAGAGCGTAATGAAGTTGGAAACTGCAAACACCAAAAACCTTTATATCAATGTATCATGTGACTCTGGTTATTAGAAACTGCAATATTTAATCGACTTATGATAAAGACTGAGGTGGCGTCGGTCTTATAGGATTTAACTATATCCAGCAAAATAGAAGCATGTCAAGTCCTGCATTCAATACGACGTCGACGGTTGATATCCCTATCTCATCTGGGATAGTACTCGTGATGATATTTATACTAATATTGTAGATAGGCAAGGATTTTAAATTGGGATCTCCGTTATTACATATACGATTACGAAAATTCTTTTAGTTTTTGATAGCCCATTCACGATCGCGTAAATTTGTCTGCGTCACATAACAGGAAAAATGTGACGCAGACAAATTTACGCGATCTACTAATATTTTATATATCAAATTTTTGGAATTTGATAATTCTAAAACAATACTTATGCAGGTGGCAGGTTTAGAGACGAACGTAAACTTCTTGCTGCGACTCAGCGCTGCGTCCGCATTCGTTTTCGGCGACGTGCACACTGCTTTTATTCCGCAACACGAGGCCGAACTATTCGCAGATCCCGATGAACACTTAGCAAATCTACGATCTATTCATGCTGCCCTTGGATTGGTAAGTTTACACAAATATTTATAGTAGTATACAGCATTATATGACAGTATATATATGTGTTACTAGGATAGACTTGCCAACCAACCAGTTTTCCCAAGACATGTCCTAGTTTTGGTACGTCCTGGGGCGTCCTGAATAGTTATGAAGCATAATTTAAATCAAATATTTTTATTTAAAAAAAATACGATTATTAAAATTACTTGAATTTCATTTCACCTATTTCCACTACATTTAAATATAGCTACTGCGTCTTATTTTTAAACCGAATTGTTCTCTGTATAACATTGTAAACGACAAAATCAGTACTTGATATAGTTGATTTCACCTGTTGTATGGAAAATTATGTAGGTAAAAGTTGAAATGTGTAACTAAAGAAACAGACTAAATGCTATCTTATGATTATTAAGTATGATATTGATAGATATCACGGAATAGATTGTTATAAAATGTAGTATAAATATATTATGTTCGATACTTTTCAGTTACTTAATTCTCAACGAAATGACTCTGTTACAAAGAACTGGAAAGGAATCTCAGTAGAATCAGCGTCATGGCGACCCAATTATCAGCTAAAGAAAACTATACTGCTGAAATTTAATGACAAAGGTATTTATTTATATTTTTAAACAAACACAATTGATTGTAATGTAAAATACTTTTAAATTTAATTTTACGAACTGGAAAATATATTATTTTATATTAAGTGCATTTGAAGTTGTTTATTGCTTTTTAAACGCTACTGAAATAATTTAGCTCTCTATATAAGAGATCTTTATAATATATATTTTATTGTATATTTAGAAAAATTGGTTTGTCTTGGGACTAGATGACGAGATGGGTTATTATTATGACCATGATACATCTGACATTTATCTTTAACTTTTTTTTTAGCATAATCTACAAAAATCTTCATATATTACAGACATAAAAATAACAGTGGAATACGATAGTGCGCCAAATTCATACAAAGTGCAAGTAAACGATGGGCAATGGCAGCAAGTTGAGGCGCTCTTAAGAAATACAGAGTTAGGACTTCAGCTCACCACACGAATAGGCGACGTGACCAGCAATGTTGGTCTGTTAACTTACGCAGATGAACTGCATGTTTATGATGAGGTATATATTAATTATAAAAATATCTTAATATAACTTTGAGGTGGGAGGGAATTCTTATTTAGGGATAATGGGAAGCCTATTGATTTAAATGTATATCATACCAATCTTTGTGCGGTCCTGGAAACCATAATGAAATTATTAATCCCTGGTGAAATCGCCATGATGCTAACTATTCCCTGTTTTCAAAAATGTAAAGAAGGCTTTTTCTTTAAAATTTATCATATAAACACTCACTAAATGGCAATATTAACATTTATCAGAATCTTGAGGGTTTTAATTAAATATATCACCACTTTTTGCCACACCATGTTTTAGTATTCACTTTCAAAATTGTATTTTAAAATATGACCTGAAAACTGCGAGAAAATGTATGAATGAAATTATAGAAAAAGTATAAGTATAAATTTTAATAATAGAATAGATCAATAAATCAAATAATATTTTCAATATTAACAACTATGCCTCACTGTTAGGTTGACTGGTAGAGATCTCTTTTAGAGATATGTCTGCTTTTAAAAGTGCAATAAAGAATACATCAAAAAAATATAATTTTCAATATCTAATAATACTATATATTTAATTAGTCTCACCTTCAGATGGTAAATACTGATATAGTATTTGTTTTATTAACTACATATGTTATAGAATGGCCAAAGTGTTCACCGAATACCGCGACCTAAGTACCAGACAGGAAGTGACGAGGATGTGTCTAGCTCACAGAACAGCGCCTGCTCTCCAACTCCTGGCGTTATGGAGAGGATTTTAGTAGCTAAAGGAGATAAGGTACAAAATTACATTCCTCTAGCCAAATATTTTTGCTCAAGAAATTAAAATTTGCAAGCTATATTAAAAACATAAAAAAAAACGTAAACTAATGCTATTTTTTTCTACCATTTAAAAAATGCAACAGAACTTATACTGTACAGCACTGTTTAATGGAAAGCATTCATTCATTACCTCTACTATTTTAAAAATGTACCCATAAAAGGGACCATCAAAATATTAAAAAGGATTTCATATTATAAAATGAGATTGATGTATATTATAGATATTGATAACAGTTTTTAGTGCTTTGTCTTGCTGTTAGTTTATACATGCATCATACAAAAACTAGCTAAGCTTGTAATAGAATGAAGTTATCACTGAATTATTGTTAGAATACAAAGGGCTTAAATTAACACTATATAATTTTAGCCCAAGGAAATATTGTATTCTATACGAAGCAAAGTCGAGTCACTTGTAAAAAACATGAACTGTTATAGATATCAGAAGTATTAGTAACGCCATCTTTCTGTAAATTAAAGAAATATTTATTCCCATATAAAAATATTCTTGACTTGCAAAGTTTAGTGTTTTTTTTTTAATTCAGAAATTATACAGCACCATTTACATTCATCAGAGTCAAAACAGCATAAACTCATAACTGTACTCTATATTTGTATTTAAAATAATTAACGTAGTAAATTAATCAAGGCTGTAAAAATGACATTTGAAACGCTAAGTTAAGATTAAGAATAATAAGTACCACCTAATTATATTTTGCTTTAAAATGTGTGTTTATATTTTGTAGGTTGTAAAAGGCCAACCCCTGTTCGTTGTAATAGCTATGAAGATGGAATACGTAGTCCGCTCTCCGAGAGATGGAGTTATAGCAGAAATAGCAACCGTGAAGCAAGGTGACGCGGTGGGGAAGGGCGCTCAAATAGTACTGCTCGAAGCGGATAGTTGAATATATAAAACTGCATTATTCATAAAATGATTAAGCCTTCAGTAAATATGTGATGTGATGACAATAATTGTGTTTTGTCACTTTTTTGCAAATTAAGATTAGATGCATATGTACATTCATTGGACTTGACAATTTTTTTTCGTATGAGCAATTTTTGTTTATTAACTTTTACATATTTAGTTATCTATAAATGACCAAAGTAATGTATATAAAATATAGCATTGCAATTTTGGTACATTACAATATTTTATTTTACCAAATTTTGTATCATTCTTGGTACTATGGTGACTCCTGTATTGAGCACTGATTCTCCTCTTGTGCGGGAAGATTTTACAGGATATGCAATAGTATATAATAACTATTATTTAGGTTTACTGTTTAACTTTAATTAAAAACAGGGTTTAGTATAAATAAAGTTAGATCTAACATAATTAATTATACTTGTACAAAATAGTTCACTAGAATGTAATATGCTCTATGATATATGTTGTGCTTGTTCCAACATAAGTCTTGTTTAAAAAATCACATCAATGGTTTATTATATAATATTTCTATTAAAACTGAATATAATGTCTTACGGTAGTTCCACTGGGTTTGTTATCTTCTAATCTTGACAGATTGTTCTTGCCTTGATGAAATCTGATTTCATCTGATAATTTTAACGTTTACTACCCACGTATTACGTATCATTATCTCACTATATTATTTTGTCATAGTTATGTGTTACGAATTTTCATTCAATTAATGACTGATTTTCCATATTTTGTATATTTCATTTTTTAATATATAAATGACCGGTAAATATATGAAATGCGGAAGTGAACGCTTGCCTCTGCATACAAAATCTTTGACATAATATTATATTATTTCTATATCCATACAAATTACTTCTGTGTCAGATGTAATTTGTATGGATATATATGGTCTTAGGAATACGGGCTGTACCATTGAAACAGTTGAGGTTACTATAATTGTAATGTCTGTTATTACATTAAACTATTTAATTAAATTTATAATTTGGTTATGTTCTCGTGTTTACTTTCTATAAATATTAATTGTTGTTTTTTTAGAAAACAAATTGTATACAATTTTATACTTTATTGTACATTCCATAGTCTTATTTTTATTGTTTTCATTATATAAAAATTATGACATAACAAAAAATAAATGTTTTATATCGTTACAATAACAAGTTTTATTATATATCCCAGTTCTAACTTTATTTGTTACTATACATTGCAAGATAACAAAGAAAAATGACCTTTTCCTGGAAATGATCTTTGAAAAAAATCATATCCAAGATAAACAAAATGAATCTAAATTTGGCAAAACGCCTGCAGATAAAGAAGGAAAGTGCATATTTCCAAACACTTTGTTAAGCATACAGTAATTATATCCTTAGTGACATGTCGTCCAAGATTTCGTAGAAGAGTTGTTGCGTGCGTGTGGAAGTTTTTTTTATATGTGACAAAGTCAGGGAACCCGACTAAATTTCGCAAGGTTTTGTAGGTTTGCCTATCAGATACATATTCTAATTGTTTCGTATTCCGAACCCCCTTAGTCTAAGCAGGTTGTATCACCGGCTTGCTTACTGAAGCAAAGGGCGTTTGGTCATACTTTTTTTTTTTATATTAAAATTTAAACGCGTTTGACCGCAATCTCACCTGATGTTAAGTGATGATGTGATCTAAGCTGTTACACGCAAGCTCAAATACTGGCCACAAATTAATACATGTGGCATATTCTTCCTGCCCTTTCCTTTAATTATTTTCTTTTCAATAAATACAGTCCAATCTCTATTTTATTTATTACTTTATAGGATTCGTAATCCAACAATAATATTTATACCTAATATCGTCATTGTTACACCCATAGTTCAAAAACCGGTTTGACGGTAAAGCTTTCAAGAGAAAATACATTTGTATAATTTCTTTTTTAAAGTAGATGTAACGTATATATATCCTTCCCTGAAGAATTGCTTATGGTTCGTATTCTTTATTGTACACACACATAGGAAAAAAACGGTATAACAGTAATAAGGTAAAAGTAATATACAAGGGCGAGCTTATCTTTAAAAACAGATTTCTTCCAGCAAACCTAAAAAATGTTATAGGATAATTTGGTATAAGTACATACATGTACGAGAAGAGAAAAAAAAGGAAAATGAGAGTACGGTATGGTAAGTTCGGCGTCTATAAATGCCAATACTGGATTCGGATTACAAATTAGAGCATAATTAACAAGCCAATATTCTACTAAGAATTCCTCTTTTATTCTTCGACTGATTGCATGAGTATTACAGAGTAATAATTGTAGAATATTAACCATTAATATTTTTTATCAAATGGATATGAATAAAAAAATATTACTGCAATTTGATAACAAAATTCATTATTAGGTAGGTATATAAAATATTAATTGTAGTTACAATATTCATATTTCGGACCCACTATCGCAACTATGGCTTTCTTATCACACTAAATGGGGCTATAGCGGTTTTAAAAAAACTGGTTATGTTAGATTTCTTCATTTAATATATACCTATATATAGAGATATATATAGATCTACGAATATTTTACCTATTTGTCTTCTATTTATTAAATCTATTTTTCTGTGGAACGATATCTAAGTAGATACGCATCTAAATACTACAAGTACAGTACAGTAATACCTTTAATATACAACTACTGAATACATAGTTACTTCATGATAATTTACTAATGTAGATATTAATAGGTAATACACCTTTTTATTTCGTGAGACACGAAATAAAAGCCTCGAAGCGTAGGTATACGAATTAATGCGAAAGTGCATTAGTGCATATTACATTATACAACGCGCTTTATAGCATGATGCAGCAGACACAAGATTTATGTTGTATAAAATTAAGTAGTTATGAACTACTTCATTTTATACAACATAAATCTTCGCTTAATTTTATTTTTGTGTGAATTTGTATTATAGGTATTATATTGGTTTTTCAGCAAAAACTTCTAAAATACTTACACTATTCTACAACGCGTGCCGTATACACAGCTGTCTTAATATTGTGCGTCATAAATCTGCTTATATGTTGTCAGAAGTAGTCCATAATTTCAATGACTACTTTGTCGGGGGGCGTAGCTCAGATGGTAGAGCGCTCGCTTAGCATGCGAGAGGTACCGGGATCGATACCCGGCGCCTCCAATTTTTTTTGTCTATTTAAACATTATATAAATAAATATAAATATGTTGATATTTTATATTGAGTGAAAATTAAAATAAATTTTACTTATATTTTTTATAGCCTACAATTAGATGTAGACGAATAATATGCGACTCAGTTCATGATTAGGAATTATGTGGCCGATCATGAATATTTCAATACCAGAGGAACTGGAGATATGTTACTGAACTTTTAGGAATATATATACCTTGCTAAGAGTTCGGCAAGTATAACGTAAGTATCTATAGATATGTATATATATGATGTGTTTCCGTCACCGAGTACTTTAACGATTTGTAGTAATGTCTACCAATATTTATTACGTAAGAAAATACTTAACTATTTCTATTAATGAATTTATAGTTTAGATCTTATATAGATATTTATAGTAGGTATAATATAATTATATCGATTGAAATAATCTCCAATAGATACACGCTCAGAATTGGGGGAAAATATTGCAAAACATGCGTAAAAAGTACAATAAAATTGAGAATTTCCTCCATGCCGAAGTTGAACTAATAGACAAACAGAATTTTACACACCTAACAGTAGGTATATGACTACTTACATATAACAGGTGAAAAGAACTATCGTTATATTTCTTTAGATAGCTCTATGCCCTTTTTTATTATATTTGTTTTTCTTCTGTTGTCTCTATTTTCTCGTTGGATTTATATATTAATAATAGCTGTATGACTACACATGAATTTTTATAACGCATATCAAGTAATTAAGTTTAATTGTATAACCATTATGATTACCAGTATAACCATAATTGTATTACCACTGACCAGAGCGGTGGTCAAGCCAGTAACGAAATTATAATTAGATACTTACCTACCTATTTAAATATGTCATAAAATAGCAAATAAAAAGTAGGTTAGATACGTGTACATAGATACAATTATTTTTGTATTCATTAATAAAGTGTTTGTCCATTTTTGTTACAAGTAGGTATCTGTACATATTTCCTAAACATATTGTATGTTTGTAGGTGTGTATCTGTTTTTGTAACAATGATATTCTATTTAATACAAGAAGTGATAGGAATAATTTGATTAATCACACTATTAGGTACATACCTAATAGTGTGATTAATTATTTATTCTAAGGTCTTAATCGTGTCACTACTAATTCTCTAACTTTGTACAGTACTCTTACTACAGTACTTCAAACTTTCACATTTATAAATTAATAGGATTTCATAGAATTGGTACAGAATAAATAGAATTATTATGTACCTATGTAGATTTGTAAATTGTAAATGCCGAGAGAATTCTATATTTATTTCTACCACCAATGAGTTATCCCGAAACGGTGTTCCGATTGAAAGAATAATGTGTGACAGTGAAATTACTGTGTACAGATGTATAAGTAATTGGTATATTGCAAAAGGAAACAGAACAAGATGGAGGTTTCGCAATCATTCCAGTCTTATCTGTGATTTTCGTGGTGTTGTTGATGTGTTAGTAGTAACATTAACAATAATTTATACTTTCAAATAGGTACAAATATGGAGAAGAAATTCTTAATAATGGGAAGCATTACCCGATTGCTAGGAAGACCGCATCATCACTCAACATCGCTCGAATTTTGTAATAAAAAAAACTGAAGTCCCTTCCGGGAACCATCCTGACTAATTCGTGGTAAATTTCTCCACGATGGGCTCTCTAGCGCGACCTTTCCTTCTCTATCTTCCACAGGTGATCCGCTCGCAAAAAAGAAGGTGCTTATTACACATTTAAAAAATAGATACAAATAAAGTATTCACACATTTTATTGCACTTCTCATGTTGGAAATGGGAGGCCTACTTTACTGTTATCAATAATAATCGCGGTTTGTCTGAGCGTTCTTATCTAGTGCGGTTTTGATAGATACGAACTTCTCATACCGCTATGTGTATCAAGGTTCTTTGTTTCTACACACCGTCGCGTCGTTTCGCTGTGGAAAATTGCCAATCAAGTATGTTTTGGGGTCCAAAGCTAAGGCCAAACGGTACTTCTTTGTTATTCACTTAGGTATGCCAGATTCGTTTCACCTAATTTGAAAGTACTTACGCATGTATTTATTTATATGTTACTAACAATACTATTTGCAAGTACTATATAATGGAGCATCTTAAAATAACGAATTTGATATGAAATTGTATACACCGTTGTTACCCAATATACGGTTTCAATGAGTCTGGTAGGATAAGGAACCAAGAAAACTGTCTGGCAATTTAGAAAACTCAGTTTAATAGTTCTCTCAATAATATATATAAAGTTCAGCTTTATTAAAATGCCGTAAGTTTATTTATAAAATAGTATAGTTTAGGGGGGTCCGGCGGGGGGTTGGAACCACACTAAGTGTCTGGCAATGAGCAGCGCAAGTTATAATAATGCTACGAACAATATATGAAAATATGGAGTTTCTTAAAATAACGAATTTGATATGAAATTTTTTACACCTTTGTTACCTGTTACCTGCCAAAGGAACCACGATCCAGGTTTCATGTTTGGGGATCGTTTTTACCTCTGTTGGGGACACACATACAAGAAGTTTCACGTTTACTAATATGACGTATGTCTGGCCGTCGTGGGCTCTTGCTCTATACTTCCCTGAATCACATCGAAAAAGTTGCGAGTTCAAATCTTGCTGACACCAAAAAATACTTCTTTGTCTAACTTCCATATTTAACTTACACATATAACAAGCGAAATGTAGGCATATTAAAAGTTGTGTACCTACACCACAACATCGACAGATGTCAATGCTTCTTACTACCTCATCTGCCATAATAGTCATAACGGCATATTATGTTTGTTACTCTTTCACACAACAACTAAGTACTAAACGAATATGAAGTACACAAATAAATTATATGTTAGATTAAGACGTTGCATACTT